CAAGAGATATGTGGCTTATAAAGAAGCGAAACCCGCTGGAAAGTAGTTATTTTTGTCTATTATAAATAAAGTACTTAGTGCATAGTGTTAAGGGTTTAAACTTTCACATTCCTACACGCTAGTCACTCAGAGTACCCAAGCAAACGAGCGAAATGAGTCAACCTAGAGCAATGTACGTTTGAAATCAACCCATTTTTAACTATTTTGATGTTATGTCATATATTTTTACTGTTTAAAATGTCGTTTGTTTTATTTTACAAGTCTTGCTTTATTGCTTTTAAATTCGTTTTGTCTTAGTCGAACGAACCCTTTTGAACATACTTTGTGAAAACACTCGAAAACTGAAGCACTGTACTGAGATTCTCTGGTCGATCTCGCCAGTAAACTTCTTGTTAAGAGACCAGCGTTGTTTGCCAAAACCAGATGTAAACACACACTCATAAGGATAATTGGATATTTGGTTAGGTAGTTGTGCTCAAAATGAAACAAAAATGCTTTGATTATTTTCATGCTTTCATATAATCAACACAAACACAAGATTAAGCATAATAAAATCCAGTTAGAACAAGAATTGAGGCCTCCAGCATATCTGAACAATGAAAAGCTACCTCACAAAAAGGGTAGGAACTAAAGTGATTCGCAAATGAACAAGTATACAAAAGAATGAATGGCATAAAATTTGTAAAAAGTCTAAGTATCATGAATATGCTAAAGTATAGAAAACGATAAACACATACCTCGAACGTGTACAAAACCTTAACATAATCATTACTACACATTCGCAAGTCAAAACAATCAAACTTGACAAATCACTGTAATATCCCCAAAGCTATTCACAACAAGCTCAAAGACAAACACACAAGTGAACACAATTAATATACACATATTAAAAGACCAAATGAAATTGTCTAAACAAATTTAAAAGTGAAGATATGAAATTTTAGAACTAGTCCGAGTTAAATTTGTTTACACAATTGTATTTAACTACCTAAACTACAACTAAACAACATTGGTGGAGTGGGAAAAAGAAAGGAAGCAAAGTGACACAAATAGAAGTCACTGGATAAAAATAGCATAGCACGTTAAGCGCCCACAGAGTGCGCTAAGCGTGCTCGAGAAAATGCAGAAAAACCAGCAAAGCTGCTGCATTTTCACCAAGTCTTCACTACACCAACAAACCTACACAATCAAAAACACAATATATACAGAATATAAAATTGTTGGGGTGCCTCCTAACAAGCGTTTATTTTACGTCGTAAGCTCGACATATGTTATTTACAAACCAACACATTGCTTCGAATGAGCCAAATGTTTCGCTCTCGTCTTCGCTCGCATCTCCTCGAGCTCTAACCGAAACTACACGCCTAACCACACTTTGGCAAACGTGAAACAAAACATCTATATGTATAAAATAAACAAGTATGTAAACTATGCATAAATATACAATATAAACATATTTACGAAACTTAGAAAGCAAAACTATCGCAATATAGTTAACATCAACACCAATCCCCGGCAACGGTGCAATTTTGCTGAAGCGGTAAAGCAGCAAGCAAAAGTAAGTATTTTATAGGTTATATCATATTGTCTCCACGGGAATTAGTGAGAAGGAAAAACTATCGTTCAATAGTTTCAATCCTCCTAAGTTTGGAAAAGGGGTTTGCGGAAAAAGTGAGGGAAAAGTAAATAAAGCAATAAAGAAAACCTAAGAGGGTTCATTTTGGAATTGCATTTCTCTCTACCCGTCAAATACTTAAACTTGCAGATCAATTGCACGCAACCTAAATCATTCGTCAATACCATCATGTATCGCTCACACTAAAGTTATCTCTAACGCAAAGTGATACATCACCCATATTACTCTCAGAGGCAATTTTGCGCGCAACTCAAACAACCCGAATGCATTTCATAATCGATACACACATGAATATTAAGCCTAAATCTATGTCTAGAGTCCAGGACCTAATAGATATTCATTCAAGAAAGAGATTCAGAAAGCATATGTCTATGACAAACTAAAACTCCGCAATAAAGAAAAAATCAAGAACAAACATCGATATTAATTTGTAAAGGAGATTTCATATAATCCAATGATCAACAAATGTACATACATAAAGAGTGAAGATATACATACAAAATCCACTATTAGAATGATACATAGGGAAGAAAGAGATGAATATGAAACTTCTCACGACGTCAACACGATCCGAGACAAACCATAACTAATCGACAAGATGCACCACCCAATGATGTTAGATAAACCTTTAAACTACAGAAAATTGAATCAGAGCTCCTCCAAGAGGGAAAGAGATGATAAAAAACCTAAAAAAAATATATTCTAAACTATTCATACAAAATCTGAAAATCGCAGACCGCGCCAAGCGCCAGATACCACGCTAAGTGCATTTTCATTTATTCACTAAACTGCCTTAGAGCGCGCTAAGTGCCAAATATCGTGCTAAGCATTCTCGCCTCTGCCTGTGCTTCAGAACCCGCGCTGAGAGCGCATTAAGCGCGACCTTAAGCAACTTTATTTCTTGAATTTTTCCAAAAATGTCTATCTAGAGCCGTGCCTTTGACACCTTATTTCTTGATGCTCCAAATATACGAAAATACCTATAAAAAGACATTAATACTATCAAACGATATATAAATAAACCATAAATACAATTATAAGCTAAGTATATATATTTACACAAAAGTCAGGTTTATTCAACCGAAATTAACAACAAAGAGTCGATAAGTGCAACAAAAAATATATACAAAAATAGCTACAATTTGCACTTATCACATACCCTCCAGGTTTCCTCATCAAAATTATTTCATCTAGATCACCATACAAGAAAGCAATTTTCACATCCATTTGTCCAATTCTAGGTCGAACTTTGCCACCATGACTAACAATATTTTGATGGATCTATGCTTCACAAAAGGTGAAAACATATAATTAAAGTCGACCCGTTCTTTCTGAGTGAACCCCCTAACAACCAACATTGTCGTGTATCTCTTTGGCATCACTCCTTCGATTCCTTCTTTAACCTTAAAAATCCACTTACAACTGACTAACCTAGCCCATACAGGTTTCTCGATAAACTCTAAGTGTTATTATCATGAAGATATTTCATCTCACCATCTATAGCTTTCATCCATTCAATCTTATTTCGAATCCTTACAGCTTCCTTTTAGTCTCTAGTTTCTTCATCAAGGACCTCGCTTGCAGAGATTAAGGCAAAGGCTGTGAAATCTACATAACCAAGTCTCCAAGCTAACTTAATTACTCTTCTCGACCTATCTTTAGCCAGTAGGTAGTCATTTTCAGTTTCCTCATTTTCATCAGCAACTTCTGTTTCTTCTTCGACTTCCTCTGGGTTATGCAATTCATCATCACTATGCTCTTCCTCAATAGAAATTTCTTCCCGTTCCAACTCTTCTTCAGATATTTCTGCATTTCAACCAGCATCATCAATTTTCTTGAACGTCATTTCTACTTAATTGAAAACTACATCTCGACTTGTTTCTGTGACATAGCTCTAGGCACCGCAACCTATAAGCTTTGACTCCTTCAGAATACCCCATGAACATGCATCTAAGAGCTCTAAGTTCAACCTTGTCTTTCTTAATGTGAGCATAGGCGACACAACCAAATACTCTAAGCCTGTCGAGATTAAGTGCATGTCCCGACTAGACTTCTTCGGTGCCTTCATCCCTAAGGTAATCGATGGACACCTATTTATCAGATATGCTGCTGTCAAAACAGCATCAGCCCAAAGCACCTTCTTCAATTCAGCACTAACTAACATGCATCTAACTCTTTTTAAAATGGTTCGGTTAAACCTTTCAGCTAAACTATTTTGTTGGGGTGTACCTGCAGTAGTTTTGTGCCTTGCAATACTAGACTCGGCACAATAGCTATCAAACGCCTCATTGCAAAATTCAAGATCATTGTCTGTTCTCAACCTCTTGATGACCTTCTTGCCAGTTTGGTTTTCGATCAGAGTCTTCCAATTTTTATAATTTTCAAAAATTTCATCCTTAATTTTCTAAATGAATACCCATAACTTTTTTGAATAATCATCAATTATAAATAGAAAATACTTTACACTTGAATGTGAAGGACATCTTACATGCTCCAAAAATCTTGTAATTTCTATACTAAAAATCTTTGATAAAAAAATTGTCTTTGAATATGCTCTAGACACATTTATGCTTGAGTGAATTCTCTTTTTCATTAATATATTTTATTCTGGCTTCTTAAAAAAAATGTTTTGATAATTAATTTTGAAAATAAGAGTTTGACATTGACATGTTAACAAAAACAATCCCGAAAAGCATGACTTACCAATAACGAAGAAATATCAATTGAATGACCAAAGAAAACCCTCACATGGTGCATAAAGAAAAGTTCTATAATGGAGTTGTTGGTGTAATTACCACTTAGCAAAAATAATTCAAATTCTCCCATATTCCTTATAATGTTCATCAACCTCTAAACAAAATTAAGTGGACGACTAAGGTAATTAAGCAATATAGTTAATTTGATTCTAAGGGGTTGGGAAAATAATGTGTAGATTAACATTGAAGTCAAATAGTTAGGCAGGTTACTTGACCTCTAATTAATTGAAGATGTGACAAAAACTATAATTATTAATAATATACCATGAAAAATGTGACAAAAAAATTAAATAATACCAATATTCATGCATGTATACATATATAGTGTAACTCTGTCAAATGGAATGTGACCTTAGTGTTATTATATTTATTTACATTCAAGAGGTCCAGAAGTCAAGGAATCTCTGCATAAGTAATTTTCTAAGGGTAGTTAGGATTAGAAGAATGTACATGCCATGAATTCCTAATCTTTTACTAATTATTTTAATTAGTGTGATCATCAATTATGTCATCTAGTATTTTGTTGCCTTTATAATTCACTAAAGTGTTTTTATTTTGTAGCATTTATTAAACATTATTAAACATACAAACAAACATATTATTTGTAGATGAGTTCTAAAAAGATTACATGGAAGTCTATTGTTTTGATCTTAGGTTGTTACAAGACAACATACTCCTTGGAGGAATCAAAAAAACAAGGCTCATTCCAAAGGTTGTCCTTGTCTGATATAAGCATTTCTAACTCTAGTATTCAAGCTATTGAGGATCTTTCAGTTTCATTAGCCGGTTCAAAGCTTTACATGTTCAATCTTGAGGAGTTAAGAGAAGCAACACATGGTTTCTCATGGAGTAATTTGTTAGGTGAAGGTGGTTTTGGTCCTGTTTATAAGGGTTTTGTTGATGATAAACTCAGACACGGTTTGAAGGCTCAACCTGTTGCTGTCAAACGGTTGAACTTGGATGGATCACAAGGTCACAGAGAGTGGTTGGTTAGTAAAATACTTGAGCTATGAATGAAATATAGGTTATAGGTAATGAAACATGATTAGAATAAGAACATGTTTTTGTATTTTATAGGCGGAGATTATATTTCTTGGACAGCTACGACATCCACATCTTGTGAAGTTAATTGGATATTGTTGTGAGGAAGAGCAGCGGCTTTTGGTGTATGAATATATGGCTAGAGGAAGCTTGGAGAATCAATTATTCAGAAGTATGTTACATTTTCTTTATTTTTAGCCATACTATATTTACGAAGTTTTAAGGTCTGGTTTCTGATTTTCTTTGTTTGTGATATAAGCAGGATATTCTGCTACTTTACCATGGTCGACGAGGATGAAAATTGCATTAGGTGCGGCTAAGGGACTAGCTTTTCTTCATGAAGTAGATAAACCTGTAATATATAGAGATTTTAAGACTTCAAATATATTACTGGATTCGGTATGTTGGTTCTCTTGCTCAATCATAATGTTGCATCTTATGCTAAACAATAACAAGGTTGTTTACTCTCTTTGAATCCAGGATTATACTGCTAAATTATCAGATCTTGGATTAGCTAAAGATGGTCCTGAAGGAGAAGAAACACATGTGACAACAACTTGCATAATGGGAACAAAAGGCTATGCTGCCCCGGAGTATATCATGTCAGGTATTTAACTTATATAGTATAATTGCTTATTTTATAAGTGTTAACGTTTAAGTTATTTCTATAACAATAGATAAAACAAGAGTGATGCGTTGTTGGAATTTTCAGGTCACCTTTCTACCAAAAGTGATGTGTATAGCTATGGAGTAGTGTTGTTGGAATTGCTTACAGGAAAGAGAGTAGTGGACAAAACCAGATCAAATAAAGAGAGACACCTTGTGGAATGGGCAAAACCTATTTTGAGAGATCAAAGAAAGTTTCTTAATATCATAGACTCAAAATTAGAGGGACAGTTTTCTATTAAAGGAGCTTTGAAGGTTGCTGCATTGACTTATAAATGCTTAAGCCACAATCCTACTCCAAGGCCTAATATGAGTGATGTGGTAAAGATATTGGAATCACTTCAAGACTTTGATGATGTGATTATAAGACCATTTGTGTATGTGGCTGTTAGTTAAAGTGGCCAATGAGATGAAGACAAGTGGTGTTTGGTTTGGTGCTAGGCATAAGCATAGAATATAAGATATTTTTGTCATTCTAGTTTGTAAGAATTGACTCTCTTAATCATGAAGCTGAATGTAAGTAATTAGTAGGTGCATGATTAAGGTGAGCATATCTAAAATTTGTGTAACACTTGCAAGATGGATGATAATACTCTATACAATTGAAGGTTCATAGAATTTCAAAGTTTGATAGTTAATTAATTTTGTTTTCCTTTCAATGTATGGTAAAAATACACCAATAATTAACAAAATTAGTTTAATAAAAGTGTTGTTTCTTTTGACAATTTTGTTGGATTTGTTAATATGTGTACAACCAACTTTAAATAGCATTCATTTTGAAATAGATAATTTATGTCTAATATGCATTCCTAATGAATGCTTGTAAGTATTATTTTTATGCTTTTATCTAGCTTTCTTTTTTTTTTAGATACAAGATGGCAAAAGCTCGAGAAAAAACTAACTAATAACTAGGATGAAGAACTCCTCTAAAATCTAAGAAATATGAACTCAATTATGTAGGACAAACATCATATAGTTGAAGCCCTAATCCATACTTCGATCTTAATATTGCCGGTATATCAGCATACTTATATGATTCTTGATAAATATGACCAATGCGAACCTCTCAGTCATCAACCAGTTTCCATTTTAGTTGATGAAGTGGTGAGAATTGTGAACACTGATATCAATATGAAGCTCCATGTTTCCATTTTAGTTGATGTTGTGAACACTTCAATAATCTCAATATGAAGCTCCGTTTTCATATGTCCTTTGGCAAACACATACTTCAAGCCTTCAAAAACTCTCCAAAGATCCCCAGATGTGTTTAGAAAACTCGTCTCTCCAAGCTCCATTGGTGCCTCTAATCAATCTGCCACATACTGCTTCTCCTTCTCATTTGACCCTAATCTAGTTATTATCTGGTGGTGCCCATTTAATTTGCTGCATTTAGCTTTTAGTGCTTACTTATGGTGTGTTCTCATAGACCAAAGATAGAGAGAAAGCTTTTAGTGCTTACTTATGGTGTGTTCTCATAGACCAAAGATAGAGAGAAAGCTTTTAGTGCTTACTTATGGTGTGTTCTCATAGACCAAAGATAGAGAGAAAGCTTTTAGTGCTTAATTATGGTGTGTTCTCATAGACCAAAGATAGAGGGAAAGCTTTTAGTGCTTACTTATGGTATGAAAACTGATGACAGTTGCTTTTTTTTGTCTTTTGCTTTCAGTGATGAATCATTGATAATCCTAAGTTCTCAATTCCTACTCTCAACTCAACATAGTTTGCATTCCTTGATAAATCCTTACTTACAATAGCGATAACAATAATTTATTGATTGATAATAATTAGTTAATTACAATACCTGCATAAACTTACACAACATAGCATAAACCAAAACAGTAGAAAAATAGAGATAACAGTCAAAACTAACTGATGAGCAATAATCATAAATAACAAGAAACTGAAATCAAGCACATGCGCAAGAACTATCAACCATAACAGAATCTTCCCCGTCACTCCTGAACAACAAATAACCAACAGCAAGACCAACAACAATAGCAATAAACACGCCGCCGTTAAACGACATAACAGCCAACATCAAGAAATACCCGATCGCCGAGCTCAACCCGAACAGAACCGCTCCGGCGACTCTCACGCCTAACTTAGCTCCACTTCCGGCGAACGTCCGTCGTAGAAGAGGCGCCTCGATCTGATCCGGAAACGGCTTTCCGGAGGCCAGCAGCTTCAGGCGAATACGGCGATTCTCGAGCAACTGGTAGAAGATGGAGACGATGAGACAAGCGAGTAGACTCGGGATGTAACTCGCCCATGAATCGGTTTTCCATGAATCGAACAGGAGAGTTGCTTTTGTGCTCCAGTAGAAGGTCATGTGCATCATCTTCGCTGAGTTTTTTTTTTTTTTAACTTCAAGGGTTTGATTGAACCAGAAAAAAATCAACTTTTTTTTCTCTTTTCTTTCTTTCCTTCTGATTCTTCGTTGTTGTACTTTTGGTTGCGTTGCTTCTTAGGTACGCTGTTGTTAATACCCAAAATACCCTCGTTGCCGATATTTTTGGAAGGTTATATACGGAATTTGTTGATAAAATAAACTGGTAGTACATATATAAACATCCCGGATGTTGAACTCTGTGGTACTTGTACTACATAGTCGTCTGGAAGCACTATATATATATATATATATATATATATATATATATATATATATATATATATATATATATATATATATATATATATATATAATCAGATTTTTTACAATTTTAAAGAAGATAAAAATTAAAGGGGTAAGAATTTGACCTCAAACCTATCTAATCTTATAATTAGGTAAGTCTAACTTATCTCTATTAAAGTCTACCAAAGTATTTTTGTGGACATCATTTCATCAAGTAATACAAGAAAACTTTAAACTTAAGTTAGTTAAAATGATTATCTTCTTGAAATACGTGGGAGGCCATAAAATTGATATTGTGCAACTTAAACAAACAAGAATCTCATCTGCTGCGAATATGTCAAGGAACCAGTGAAGAGTTGCAAAAAGCCAAGACCACAAGAGAAGAGTCGATTTTTATCCAAAGATTAGACCAATGGTTACGGAAAGCCTACTCCATGGCTAAATGGGCCCCCATGAACTCCGCGAATAAAGCATTAACAGACCCTAAATTACAGCAAAAGCTACCAAGATGATCATTAACCTCATTTCGAAAAATCCCTCCGCAATCAGCCAAACCAGTTGAAGCACCATCAACATTAACTTTAACCCAACCGGGTTGGGGAGGCAACCAAAGCACCTCCAACCCGTCTGAGGCCGAGGAGGGTGAATCACCACCTTGAATTTTTTCTAGGTAACAAAGTCCGAAATAGAAAAGTTAGATTTACGTGCAGTAAAATTTCCAGACATGGTTGTGGCAAAGATAATGTTGGCATAATGAGACTGCCACCGAGTTTTCTTATTATGAAATCTGGCAAAATTCCTCGCCTGCCAGATGCAAGAAACAGAATTCAGAACCGCATCCAAGAGCACCACATATAAGAACAAGATTTGCTTATGTAATATCATCTATGAGTTTTGATGATAACAAATGAGTATGCTTGTGTGAACAATTTTGTTGTACTAATGTTTGTTATTGTTAAGTACTTAACAAACAAGTTCTGCTTCTGATGAATGGTGTGGCCAAGACATTAGAAGAGAATTAGTTATGCTTCTGCGCTACACAAAATTTTTTGAACAATAGTCAGACACTCCAGAAGGCTCTAAAGTGTAAGCTCTGATATTTTTCTAAAGAAACCAATCAGAAGATTCAAAGACGGAAGTTGCTACTTAAGTCCAGATGCTAAAGACTCAAGTTTCTAAAGACAATGGGCTCTATAGAAACCGTCAGAAGATCTGAAGACATAAGTTTTTACTCAAGAGACCGGGTAGGTTTGTAGCCTTAAGAAGTCTTTAACTTGCGAGTCTTAGAAGTTGTTAGTCACTTGTGGGTAGCTTGTGCAAATTGTAATCAGTTTGGTTATAGTAAATTATGTCCTTGATTGAGTAAGGCGAAATCACTTTGACGGGTGGACTAGACTAATTTGATAATTTTCAAGTAAACTAGTATAAACATACATTGTTCTTTACTTCTTATTCTTACTTATTGTTATTATCAAGAGTGAAGTTTAAAAGGATTTTAACTTAAAGGAGAATATTTTTAAAGAAAAGTTTTTGTTTTCAAAAACCAATTCAAACCCTCATTTCTTATGTTTTTCACACCTTCAATTGGCATCAGAGCTCCGGTTCTGAGGAGATAAAAAAGTTTGAATTTTTATCAACACTTAACAATGTTCAGTACCGATTCAGTGTGTGTGAAAAACCAATGGAGACATCTACTTCCACTGTTGATAATAGGGATAATGATAGAGATCACTATAGTCCAAAACCTCATATGTTTGATGGGGAGAAATTTTACTATTGGAAGGATAAAATAGAAAGTTATTTTATGGCATATGACTTGGATATATGGAATTTGGTAGTTAATGGCTACACTCACCCAGTAGATGATAAAGGTCATAAGATTGCAAGAAGTGAAATGACAGAAGCACGGAAGAAAGTATGTAGAAATCACTACAAAGCAAGAACCATTCTTCTAAGTGCTATTGCATATAATGAATATGAGAATATCACAGATAGAGAGACTGCAAAGTCTATCTTTGATTCTCTTCAGATGACACATGAAGGCAACGCACAAGTAAAAGAAACAAAGGCTCTGGCCTTAATTCAAAAATATGAAGCCTTCAAGATGGAAGACGACGAATCTGTGGAAACGATGTTTTCAAGATTTCAAAATCTTGTGGCAGGACTTAAGGTTCTTAATAAAGGTTACTCCACTGCAGATCACGTGAAAAAGATTATCAGAAGTCTGTCAGTCAAATGGAGACCAATGGTAACTGCTTTAAAATTGGCAAAGGATCTGAACAACACCTCTCTCGAGGAGCTGATTAACTATTTAAGAAGTCATGAAATAGAGTTGGAACAAGATGAGCCTCAGAAGAGGGTAAAATCAGTTGCTTTAAATTCTACTTCTAGGAAAACCAAGGCTTATCAAGCGAAGGAAGAATCAGAAGAATCTGAAGAAGATTCAGATGATGATGAACTCTCTCTGATATCCAGAAGAATAAGTCAAATCTGGAAGCACAGACAAAGCAAGTTCAGAGGTTAATGAAGGACATATGGAAGAGGTGAATCCACTTTCGGTCAGAGAAATGCTTATGGAAAAGAAGTTACTTGTTTTAAATGCAACAGGCTTGGACATTACAAAAATGAGTGTTCAAAGCTTAAGAAAGATAAGAAGCCTAAGAAGGCTTACAAAGCTAAAAAGGGTCTCATGGCAATATGGGATGATTCAGAATCAGAAGATGAATATTATGATGAAGAGCGTGCAATCATGGCATTCATGGCCAGGACCAGCAAGAAAGAAGCAACATCAGAAGAAGAACTGACATTTAACCATGAGTCGGACTCTGTTGACGACAAAGAGGTACTTTCTTCCTTATCTTGTTTTGAACTTGAAATTGGTTTATCTGAATTAATGAAAAGGTATCAATATCATCCAAGTAAACACAAAATCTTGAAAAAAGAGTTTTGTAGCTACTTTTGAGAACACTACGATAGATGAGCAAAATATTTCTGACTTAATTGAAAAACTATTTGTTTTATAAAAATCAAACATCGCTCTGAAAAGTAAAGTGTCTAAATTAGAAGAAGAGATTTCCTCTAACACGTCTGTTACTGACGAAGTAAACAGATATGATAGAGCTTTTCAACACCTCCTTGCTAAAAGCACATATAGAAGTAAAATGGCTTCAATGATCTATGATGTTATTAAAAATGGAAGTAGAGGCTTTAGGTATTTAAGACCATCAAAGAAAATTGACGAGACTCTGAATGTCAAACCAAAACCTCTTTCGGAACATTTCGTGCTTGCTGGAACAAATTTGAAATGCCCATGTAAGTATTTGTTGGCAGCAATTTTGGTAAAATAATATTGTGATACGATGGGAGAACTGACTTAGGTGTTTTGCGTTTGATCGCAAATGTTGCGGTTAGCAAGAGTCGCCACCGACTTTTCTTTTATCCAAAAGGAAAGGTGAAAAAGCACAGGAAATACCTTTGAGATTGTTTCTTGAGTTCAGGGGGTAGATTATGAAAAGGGAAGGTATTAGCACCCTTCTCATCCATGGTTTTCTATGGGCTCTTATTTACTTTGCTAGATCACTTGATTTTGTTAGAAATTGTGCTTTGTATGGTTTTTGAAAGTATTTTGTAAAGAGGCCATTGTTTAGGCAAACTTTGTAATGATTCTCGTTCGTAAGAATGTATACAAAGATGTTGATCTTTTGAAAATGTTTTCAAGTTTGTAAGATGTTTTGAAAGTGTAGGTGTTTGTTTTGAAAATATCAAGTATGTTTTGTTTTGAAATGGAGCAAGTAATTAGGAGCATTCTACCTACTCAAAAGTCTTTCATGTTCATTTTTATTTTTCCTTTGACATTGTTATCTTACCATTGATTTGATAAGTAACCCTATCTTTGGAAGTATACGGAACGGGCGTGGGTCATCGTATAACCATGATTAGCAATGTTGCAATATATCTTAGCATTCTCTTTTAGGGACTAAGATCTTTTTGAAGGCAACTTAGATAGCGTCACCGAGGAACTATGATCTTATATTTTGCTTGTTTTTGCTAAGATACCTCACATGTGTAATATGGCCATTTTGTAAGGCAACCAAGTGGATCTTACCCTAAGGGTGCTTGTGTGCAAGTGTATTATTTTTCATGCTTGGTTTTGTCTTTGATTAGGGTTTTCTAGTTGAGTGGTTTTAGTCTTTCCATACAAACCCTAATTACTAGCATTTATATATAAAGCGATAAATTGCGGAATTTAAAATTACTACGCTATTACAATACTTGTGGGAGGGGAGTGTACAAATTACAAATGGAGATTGCAAGAATAATAAATCTTAATTATCTATTACAACTATATTGAATTTGTACAAGAATTGAATAAATAATGTACAAAAATAAATAAATATACAAGAATATAAATGTAAAGAAAATTGATGTTTATTTGGTATTTTAGAGAAAAGGGCTTTTGGTTTTAAACTAATTAACTAAAAGAAAATTATTAATTAAAATAATAAAAAGTAAACCTAAATTTACTAGGGAAAGAAATTAAATAAAACCCTAATCTATTAATTGATTAAAAGAAATTAAGTATAGAAGAAGAATATTTTTGGTATTTTTGTCTTAAAAATAATTTATAGTATTATAAATTATTTTTGGTCTTTTTATATTTTAAAATAATATATTTAAATGGTGTAAAAGAAAATAACTAAAACCCT